CTGGCTCCGTTAGCAGGCCCAGCCCCGTCCCGACCCCTAGCACCCCCCACCCGAGGCACGGCGACACCGAGAGCCCCCGGCCCTGCGGCTGCCAGGGGGTTGGCGGGCGCTGAGGAGACCCCAGGCCAAGGCCGTGCCCCACTGCAGAGGGAGAGGAAACCTCCGCCACCTGGACAAGCTGAGCAGGGAGCAAATCCCTGCCCCCCGCCCTCCCCCCAGGCAGCATGAGCGGGGGGAAGAGCCTGCAGCCAAGACCCTGCAAGGCTGCATCCTGGCAGGAGCATTGGCACAGCCGGGCACAGCCCCATCCTGCCCCCCCGGGCACTGTCCCTCGGGGGCAGACCCCCCATCACAGCCCCCCGTACCCCGATCTCCAGCCCCATCCTGCGCCAGGCCGTGTGCCTGACCCAGCCCAGCTCCGGCTTCCCTGGGGGCACCCCCGGCACAGCTCCCCCCGGCTGGCACCAGGCCTGGCCGTGTCCTGGGAAATGCTGCGTGTCTAATCCCGGCCCCAAAGGAAAGCGGCTCGTCAGGGCCTTTCCCTTTGTGCGCTGAGCCCCGGGGCGACAGCCCAGCACTTTCCATTGTGCGCCCGCGCAGGGGCTGGCGTCGCCCCTGGCCCCCCGCCCTGCTGACACAGCACGGCCGTTTGTGCACCGCTGGCAGGGGCCGGCGCGCTATAAAAGGCTCCGACGCCGCGGCCCGGCACCGCTGCCCTCGCCGCTGTGTGCTGACACCAGTAAGTACCACAGTCCCCCCACCCCTGGGGCCTCTGCCCCGGGGAGGGGGCCGCAGCCTCCCACTGCCCTGGGGACGCAGATCCCAGCTCAGGGGCGCCCCGCTGTGGAGGGGGCAGAGGCAGCTCCCGCAGCGCCAGGCCAGGCTGGAGACTGGGGGCGGGGGGCTCCAACCCGAGACCCCGGGCCTGGGGCAGGGGGATGCAGCAGGGAGCCAGGGGCATGGGGCTGAGTGGGGGGCAGCGGTGCAGGGGCTGTGGGGGTGAAGCTCAGTGCCCCCCAGCCCTGCTGGAGGGAGCATTGCAGGGGTCTGGGGGTGCTGCCCCCCACCCAGTGTGGCCAGTGCTTCTTGCTCCTGACCTGCAGCTCCCCACCCCGCCAGCCCTGCTGGTGCCCCTCACTCCTGCCCCCAGGGGCACTTGCTGGAGCCCGGCACAAGAGGGGCTCCGGGTCCAGCATGGGGGCAGGGGCAGTTTGGGGGCTAATGCGGGGGCTGCGTGTGTGCAGCAAAGGCATTGCCATGACGACCCAGGCCATGGACACGCTGGGGCAGTTCAAGATCACGGTGTGGGAGGAGGAAAACTTCCAGGGCAAGCGCTGCGAGTTCCTCGTGGAGTGTCCCGGCATCCTGGAGCGCGGCTTCCGCAAGATCCGCTCCATCAAGGTGGAGAACGGCCCGTAAGTGCCCCTGGGGAGCAGCCCCGGAGCCCAGGACGCCTGGGTCCCCCCCCACAGCTCCCCGCAGGCCCCTGCTCTGGGCTCCAAGCAGCTCCCCTCTTGGCTGCGGATGTCGGGGCATCCCCGTGACGGCAGCACCCCAGGCCGGAGCCCTGGCGCGGCACTGCTGCAAAGGGGCTTGCACCCCGCCTGCACCCGTCAGCAGGGGTTTATGTTGCTGACCCCCTGCCGTGCCTTGCAGCTGGGTGGGCTTCGAGTACCCCGAGTTCCAGGGGCAGCAGTTCATCCTGGAGAAGGGCGACTACCCGCGCTGGGAGGCCTGGAGCGGGAGCAGCGGGTACCGCACTGAGCATCTCCTCTCTTTCCGGCCCATCAAGTGTGCGGTGAGTCGGCGGGCCCGGGGGGCTGCAGGCCCCGCAGCGCCTGGGCGAGGATGGGGGCGTCTGCATGCAGCCTGGGTGGATGCACAGCGGAGGGGGAGGGCTCAGGGGGATAGGAGACGTGCGCAGCCCCCCTGGCTGCTATCGCCGGCTGCATCGCGGCCTCCCCGCTCGGCGCGGCCCCCGCCCCCGGGTTTTAATAACTGCCAGGCAGATACGAGGCGGTTTAATAAAGGGGCCCAGATACCATCGAGCCTGGCTGGCAGGGCCGCGGGGAGGGGGGCAGCAAGGCCCAGGCGTTAACCCCTCGGGGCCCGGCAGCCTGCCATCCCGGCCTGCGTCCCCCCCATAGAGCCCATGCCGGGGGTCCAGGGACCTGCCTGTGTGGGAGCCTGGACAATGGGGAGAGAAAGGGGGTATGGCAGGGGCTGTGCCCCCACGACCCCTGCCCCTTGACCCCTGCCCCCCTTGCAGAACCACAACGACAGCAAAGTGACCCTCTACGAGGGCGAGAACTTCCAGGGCCGCAAGTTCGAGCTGAGCGACGACTACCCCTCGCTGCAGGCCATGGGCTGGGGCACCAAGGAGGTGGCGTCCATCAAGGTCAACTCCGGAGCGTGAGTGTCCCCGGCCCGGCCCGATGGCAGGGGCAGGATCAGACCCACCTACCCCGACCCCAAGGGTCATTTGACCCCACTGCACCAAGAGGGCCTGGGGGCCGCAGGGGAGACACCAGGGCAGACACCAGCCCCGGGCTCCCCTGCCCCTGCAGCACTGCATGGCTCTTGCCCCCTGCTCACGCTGCCTTGGGGGGCAGGCAGGGATTTGCCCCCTGCTCAGCCTGGCCCAGCCGGGGGGGTTTCCCCTCCCTCTGCGGTGGGGGCACAGCCCAGGCCTGCACCCTCTCCAGCGCCCCCCCCCCGGCAGCAGCAGGACGTTGGGGTCTGCAGCCTCCCGTATCCCAGGGGCGGAGGCGATGCCCAGGGCTGTGTCGGGGGCGACAGTGTTGTGCGGCTCCAAGGTCACACACGGGGTTTGTCTGGGTGGGTCTGATCCTGCCTCGGGCTGGATGTGACCCCGCAGCTCTGGGCTGTCTGTGCCCACAGGTGGGTGGCCTACCAGTACCCCGGCTACCGGGGCTACCAGTACATCCTGGAGCGCGACAAGCAGAACGGCGAGTTCAAGAAGTACATCGAGTACAGCAGCCAGGCCCACACCAACCAGATCCAGTCCATCCG